CTTTCTCTCACTGTGTCTCTCTCTGGTCAAATTAAAATAAATGAGTGCATAAATAAAATTAAAAATAAGCAATTATTAACAAAAGAAAAGCTTTGCCATTGAAGTATAAGACTTAAGCCTTTGCTGAGTGACATGGCATTGGGCCAGTTCTTTAAACTTTTGGAGCCTCAGTTGCTTCATCAGTAAAGTGGGGATAATACCTCTGTCAAGATTCTGTCCTGAAGAGAAAATAAACCCACTGTATACCTTCATCCTATGGGGTTGTTGAAAAGTCATGATGCATTTTTGCATAGAAAAACAGAAAATTTTAAAAAAAACATGATTTTTCTGACAACCCAATAGTATCAACACTCTCTAGCTTTCACTAACTCTATCCAAATTTAAGGTGAAATTTGGACAGAGCAGCCAGATCCTCCCTGAATAGTTGTTTAAATGCCATTCTTTATTTTAATCAGTTCCCATATACAAAGCAGGTATATAAATAAGTTCCTTCCACCACCACGCCCCGTGCATGTTTATCTTATGCACACACTATCAGTTTCTTTAAAACAAAACCAAAAACTTCTTTCAATGCTAGACAGAATTAGTCTAATTCCTACAAGTAGAAATGAACACAGATCTGCAGAACTCTGAGAACAGCGTAGCCACGTTACTACAGAAGTGCCGCCCGCAGAGACTGGAGCTGTATAGTTTCTATGCATCGCCTTCTTCATCACCTTCTTTCTTTTGCCCATTTCTCTCTGCTTATCTCCTCCTATCATCCTCTTCCTTATCTCCCTTTCCCCTTTGAATGTTAAAAATGTCCAGCAGGTACCCAGTTTACTTCTCTTTTTTGGGGGAGAAGAGATTTTTCTTTTTTCCCTATAGGTTGTGTGAGCTCATGAGAGAAACAGAAACTGAAAGCAAGAAATCACCTCCCAGGCGGATGGCCAGGCTGCAATTCCTTCTCCTCCATTCTCTGTTCGGGACTTTGGGCATGCACACACATGTGCCTGGTGTGAGTTTGAAACTGCCAGGTCGAGGATTCGAAGTGGGGTCAACTATGTAGGAGTCCAGTGACGTAACCATTATGATATCTGTTGGTCCTGGTACCCAGGATATTTTTTCCTAGCAGAGCCCCTTTTCATCTGAGTCACATTCTGATCCTAGGAATCAGGAAGAGTCTATGATTTGGGGCAGCTAGAAAGATGGAAGGTTTTCAGGGCTTTGAGTCTGTGCTGACTTTGAAAGCAACCCAATATGTGCACTTGTCTAATTGTGAAGCCCCATGTCTGCTGGCTTAATTCTTCAGAAAAAGAACCCATACAACTAAATTTTACAGCCAGTCAGAATTATAAAGCAAATTTGCACAGATGTAGCTACAGTACATCGATGCTAATGTATATTAAAACAAAAGATTAGTGTGTGTGCTTCTTTCTACGCTTTTCCTCCTAAGTTTACTTCTTGCTTTCATGAGCAAGTGGAAGAGACAGAGAGACAGGTACCCCCAACAGGGTCCTGATGGTCCACCGACCAGCTTCTCTCAGTCCTAGATCGTGAACACGTGCGTGCCTGGCGCGTTCAGGGAGGTCTCTGTATGAGAACTCAGGACTTCGCCACATGGGCCAACCTCATAAAGTGCCACACTTTACTGCTGTGCCATCATCTAGACCCTGGCACACGCAGCTCCTTGATAAGAACTTCCCAGAGGAATGTCCTGTAGAGCTTGTTAAGAACAGCACAGTAGGAATCACAGATTTGAAGCAAGGAAAATTGATGCAGTCTAATGGGTGATCACTAGGCAGAGAGCTTCTGAGAAGTTGTACATTTTAAACAATCCCGTCTTGGGGCCAGCAGGCAGCGTAGTGGTTAAAGTACTAGACTCTCACACCACTGACTGTGATCCGAGTCCTAGACTCGGTGGCTTGAAAACCATGCTAGGTGTGTGTGCATGTGTGTCCAAAATCCCAGGAGGAGAATGGAGGAGAAGGGATTGTGTTATGGCTATCCCAAGGGGTGGGGATGATTTCTCACTTCCCTCCCACTGTCTCTGTCTCTCTCTGGCAACTGCACGTGCTCTATGGCAAAAATAAATAAATAAATAAATAAAAATAAAAAATAAACAAAACAAGAATCTTGTCTTTAGTTTTTGTCTACTTCCAAGACCTTCAAGTTTCACCAGAGATTCAGTAAGATGGCTTTTGTCATGGTCAATAGGGAGGCTGAAATAGACACTCTGACACCACCATCCCCAGGAGAATAAGTCTGCAGTGTTTTGGTGTGGGCGACACCTCCTTTGTAGCTCTCTGGTTACTTGTGTGCTCTGAGAACACACCCTGCAGAGTGCATTCATCACAATAGCCTGTGTGTGACCTTTGGAAAAGTCCTTGAAAACAGTGAAACAAGAGTCTTAGCTGAAATCTGGAATCCATTCCAGTCTTACACAGGAAGAAAATTAGGCATAGAACAACAAAGCCCATAGTTCAGAGAAACCTGGGGAGGCTCTGGCTGACATTAAAATCGTGGAAGATTTTTTTTTTTTTCCTTCCCTACTTTGTATTTCATAAAAGCTTTTCATCTGAGCAGCCCAAAGCTGCTAGAAAATACCGTATGGTTAATAGATGGCAATAACTGCTTTCTTGTGAATAGTGTGAGCTGAACAAGAGCTGAGCTGCTGAGTGACTTATTAAAATTCACCTACTTAACACTTTTCCAGGCAACTAAGTAAATACTATTTTTCCAAACCTAAGTGGCCAATACTACTATTTTCCCCCTTGGAATTAATGTACTGGCAAAAAACAGGGGTACATGGAAGTATGGGGTGCTCCGTAGGCCTCAACTCTATGATAGAGTTCGTTAACCCAGAAGGACAGCGCGGGTCTGGAAACATTCACTCGCTTACAACATGAATCAGCAGAGTGGTGCGCTTGCTCAGTAAATTTAACTCAACACACAGTTGCAGGCTGACCCTATATTTATAAGCACAGACCAAATTCCCTTTGTCCCCAGCTGATAATATTTGCTAGTAACCTGTTGTATCACACGATTTATTTTATACACACATGTCATATACCTGTACTACCTATGGAAACATTGTCTTTCTTTGGTTGCAAGAGAAAAGCTAGGACACGTCTGAGTCCAATGGTGGCATAAAATCCACTGACAATCGATTGGCAAAGGTTTGGAATTGTATTTTAGCGTCCATCTCGAGTTTGTCTGGAAGGCCCCTCGATAGGAATACCGCCTTTGAAGTGAACAAAATTTGGAAATATTCCAAAGGGAGAGTACCACTTCAGACCTAACCCAGACCCAGACCCAGGCCCAGAGCTTATCCACACACATGAAGTTTTGTTTTTCCTTAAGTACCCTCACAGTTCATTTTGTATTTTTCTTAAAAAAAAAAAAAAAAAAAAAAAAAGTAAATG